TCCTGGTGGATCAGAGCCTGATCAACCAGACTGTTGCTGCTCTGAATGAGGTGGTGCAGGGGCCAGCTACTCTGAGTTTACCTGGAGAGAGTTTCGGGGGTCAATGCCCCCGCGGCCCGGTCTGTGACCAGGCCTCCTGGTGGATCAGCGCCTGATCAACCAGGCTGTTGCTGCTGGCTGCACGCAAACCAACGTACGAGCCACAGCCTGGCTGATCAGGAACTGACTTTAGGTGCTTGTCCAGTGCCAGCTTGAAGACTGCCAGGGGTCTGTTGGTAATCCCCCTTATGTGTGCTGGGAGGCAGTTGAACAGTCTCGGGCCCCTGACACTTATTGTATGGTCTCTTAACGTGCTAGTGACACCCCTGCTTTTCATTGGGGGATGGTGCATCGTCTGCCAAGTCTCTTGCTTTCGTAGTGAGTGATTTTCGTGTGCAAGTTCGGTACTAGTCCCTCTAGGATTTTTCCAGGTGTATATAATCATGTATCTCTCCCTCCTGCGTTCCAGGGAATACAGGTTTAGAAACCTCAAGCGCTCCCAGTAATTGAGGTGTTTTTATCTCCGTTATGCGCGCCGTGAAAGTTCTCTGTACATTTTCTAGGTCGGGCAATTTCACCTGCCTTGAAAGGTGCTGTTAGAGTGCAGCAATATTCCAGCCTAGATAGAACAAGTGACCTGAAGAGTGTCATCATGGGCTTGGCCTCCCTAGTTTTGAAGGTTCTCATTATCCATCCTGTCATTTTTCTAGCAGATGCGATTGATACAATGTTATGGTCCTTGAAGGTGAGATCCTCCGACATAATCACTCCCAGGTCTTTGACGTTGGTGTTTCGCTCTATTTTGTGGCCAGAATTTGTTTTGTACTCTGATGAAGATTTAATTTCCTCATGTTTACCATACCTGGAGACCTGGAGAGAGTTTCGGGGGTCAACGCCCCCGCGGCCCGGTCTGTGACCAGGCCATATGTGAGTAATTGAAATTTCTCATCGTTGAACTTCATATTGTTTTCTGCAGCCCACTGAAAGATTTGGTTGATGTCCGCCTGGAGCCTTGCAGTGTCTGCAATGGAAGACACTGTCATGCAGATTCGGGTGTCATCTGCAAAGGAAGACACGGTGCTGTGGCTGACATCCTTGTCTATGTCGGATATGAGGATGAGGAACAAGATGGGAGCTAGTACTGTGCCTTGTGGAACAGAGCTTTTCACCGTAGCTGCCTCGGACTTTACTCTGTTGACGACTACTCTCTGTGTTCTGTTAGTGAGGAAATTATAGATCCATCGACCGACTTTTCCTGTTATTCCTTTAGCGCGCATTTTGTGCGCTATTACGCCATGGTCACACTTGTCGAAGGCTTTTGCAAAGTCTGTACATATTACATCTGCATTCTTTTTGTCTTCTAGTGCATTTAGGACCTTGTCGTAGTGATCCAGTAGTTGAGACAGACAGGAGCGACCTGTTCTAAACCCATGTTGCCCTGGGTTGTGTAACTGATGGGTTTCTAGATGGGTGGTGATCTTGCTTCTTAGGACCCTTTCAAAGATTTTTATGATATGGGGTGTTAGTGCTATTGGTCTGTAGTTCTTTGCTGTTGCTTTACTGCCCCCTTTGTGGAGTGGGGCTATGTCTGTTGTTTTTAGTAACTGAGGGACGACCCCCGTGTCCATGCTCCCTCTCCATAGGATGGAAAAGGCTCGTGATAGGGGCTTCTTGCAGTTCTTGATGAACACAGAGTTCCCCTGAGTCTGGCCCTGGGGCAGAGTGCATGGGAAAGTCATTTATCGCCTGTTCGAAGTCATTTGGCGTCAGGATAACATCGGATAGGCTTGTGTTAATCAAATTTTGTGGCTCTCTCATAAAAAATTCATTTTGATCTTCGACTCTCAGTCTGGTTAGCGGCTTGCTAAAAACTGAGTCATATTGGGACTTGAGTAGCTCACTCATTTCCTTGCTGTCATCTGTGTAGGACCCATCTTGTTTAAGTAGGGGCCCAATACTGGGCGTTGTTCTCGATTTTGATTTGGCATAGGAAAGAAATACTTTGGGTTTCTTTCGATTTCATTTATAGCTTTTAGTTCTTCCCGCGATTTCCTGACTCCTAAAGGATTCTTTTAGCTTAAGTTCGATGCTTGCAATTTCTCTGACCAGTGTCTCCCTGCGCATTTCAGATATATTGACCTCTTTTAGCCGCTCTGTTAAATTCTTTTCCGTCGCCTGTAAAGGGAGCGCCTGTCTCTTTCTATTTTACATTTTACTCCTCCTTTTTCTTAGAGGAATAAGCCTTGTGCATACATCGAGTGCCACCGAGTTAATCTGTTCTAGGCATAAGTTGGGGTCTGTGTTGCTTAGTATATCTTCCCAGCTTATATCGGTTAGGACTTGGTTTACTTGGTCCCACTTATGTTTTGTTATTGAAGTTGAATTTTGGTGAATGCTCCCTCGTGACTAGTCTCATTTTGTCGGTCTGGGGCTCCTCGCATACATGTCTGAACCTCAATTATGTTGTGATCTGAGTATATTTGTTTTTGATATGGTGACATTTCTTATCAGATCATCATTGTTAGTGAATATGAGGTCTAGTGTATTCTCCAGTCTAGTAGGCTCTATTATTTGCTGGTTTAAATTGAATTTTGTGCAGAGATTTAAAAGCTCGTGTGAGTGTGAGTTTTCATCAGAGCTGCCTCCTGGTGTTATTACTGCAACAATATTATTTGCTATATTCCTCCATTTTAGGTGCCTTAAGTTGAAATCCCCCAGGAGCAAGATGTTGGGTGCAGGAGCTGGAAGATTTTCCAGACAGTGGTCAATTTTTAACAGCTGTTCCTGGAATTGCTGAAATTGCTGCTAGAAAAATGACAGGATGGATAATGAGAACCTTCAAAACTAGGGAGGCCAAGCCCATGATGACACTCTTCAGGTCACTTGTTCTATCTAGGCTGGAATATTGCTGCACTCTAACAGCACCTTTCAAGGCAGGTGAAATTGCCCACCTAGAAAATGTACAGAGAACTTTCACGGCGCGCATAACGGAGATAAAACACCTCAATTACTGGGAGCGCTTGAGGTTTCTAAACCTGTATTTCCCTGGAACGCAGGAGGGAGAGATACATGATTATATACACCTGGAAAATCCTAGAGGGACTAGTACCGAACTTGCACACGAAAATCACTCACTACGAAAGCAAAAGACTTGGCAGACGATGCACCATCCCCCCAATGAAAAGCAGGGGTGTCACTAGCACGTTAAGAGACCATACAATAAGTGTCAGGGGCCCGAGACTGTTCAACTGCCTCCCAGCACACATAAGGGGGATTACCAACAGACCCCTGGCAGTCTTCAAGCTGGCACTGGACAAGCACCTAAAGTCAGTTCCTGATCAGCCGGGCTGTGGCTCGTACGTTGGTTTGCGTGCAGCCAGCAGCAACAGCCTGGTTGATCATGCGCTGATCCACCAGGAGGCCTGGTCACAGACCGGGCCGCAGGGGCGTTGACCCCCGAAACTCTCTCCAGGTAAACTCCAGGTAAACTCCAGATGTTGCATCCGGAGGCTTGTAGACTACCACAATGACTAGGTTTTGGTTCTCGACCTTTACTGCTAAAACTTCCACTACGTCATTTGAGGCCTTAAGCAGTTCTGTGCAAACAAGTGACTCTGCAATGTATAGGCCAACCCCCCCCTTTTGCCTGTTCACTCTGTCACATCTGTATAGGTTGTAACCTGGGATCCATATTTCATTGTCCAAGTGATCCTTTATGTGGGTCTCAGTGAAAGCCGCGAACATTGCCTTTGCCTCTGCAAGCAGTCCACGGATGAAAGGTATTTTGTTGTTTGTTGCTGGCTTTAGACCCTGTATATTTGCAAAGAAGAATGTTATCGGACTGGTGGTATTGTTGGTACTGGGGGGGGGGATTTTTTTTCCGGCATTAGTATCTGTATTTGTTGGTTTGGAGTGGAGGCCATCGACTGTGGTTCCACTCCAGGAATGACTGGATTTGGTGTACGATTTCTGCCATTTCCTGCCAGTTTTTTCCTTCCTGGCACTAAAAAACCTCTCCCTCTTGAGTGGCTGTGGCTACCCAGGTGGTGCAGGGACCAGCTACTCTGAGTGAGGTGGTGCAGGGACCAGCTACTCTTGAGTGAGGTGTGCGGGGACCAGCTACTCTGAGTGAGGTGGTGCAGGGACCAGCTACTCTGAGTGAGGTGGTGCAGGGACCAGCTACTCTGAGTGAGGTGGTGCAGGGACCAGCTACTCTGAGTGAGGTGGTGCAGGGACGAGCTACTCTTGAGTGAGGTGGTGCAGGGACCAGCTACTCTGAGTGAGGTGGTGCAGGGACCAGCTACTGAGTGAGGTGGTGCAGGGACCAGCTACTCTGAGTGAGGTGGTGCAGGGACCAGCTACTCTGAGTGAGGTGGTGCAGGGACCAGCTACTCTGAGTGAGGTGGTGAGATAAGATAAGATTTCGTTCGGATTTTTAACCCCGGAGGGTTAGCCACCCAGGATAACCCAAGAAAGTCAGTGCGTCATCGAGGACTGTCTAACTTATTTCCATTGGGGTCCTTAATCTTGTCACCCAGGATGCGACCCACACCAGTCGACTATCACCCAGGTACTTATTTGCTGCTAGGTGAACAGGACAATAGGTGTAAGGAAACGTGTCGGAATTTCCACCCGCCGGGAATCGAACCCGGGCCCTCCGTGTGTGAAGCGGGAGCTTTAGCCACCAGGCCACCGGGACCGCCGGGACCAGCTACTCTGAGTGAGGTGGTGCAGGGACCAGCTACTCTGAGTGAGGTGGTGCAGGGACCAGCTACTCTGAGTGAGGTGGTGCAGGGACGAGCTAAATCTGAGTGAGGTGGTGCAGGGACCAGCTACTCTGAGTGAGGTGGTGCAGGGACCAGCTACTCTGAGTGAGGTGGTGCAGGGACCAGCTACTCTGAGTGAGGTGGTGCAGGGACCAGCTACTCTGAGTGAGGTGGTGCAGGGACCAGCTACTGAGTGAGGTGGTGCAGGGACCAGCTACTCTGAGTGAGGTGGTGCAGGGACCAGCTACTCTGAGTGAGGTGGTGCAGGGACCAGCTCCTCTTATCATAATCACTCAGATAACAGGTGGCACTGTGTACCTGGCACCTCCATAACTACTAGTTCTTTAGTTTCTGAAGTAAGTATTATTACTTACGTACATAATTTCCTACTTACGTACATACTTACATACTTATTATGTCTTGAAGGAGGAGAGGTGGGAAGATAATGTCATATATAATATATAATATACGTGGCTAACAAAGGTAGTAATGTCGAGTTTGACGTCTTCTCATTATGGTATATTTTTGGGTATTAAAATGCTACATAAATACCAGGAGCTGCCTATATTACATATATACTTAGATGATTATACTGCTATTTAGGTTTTCAATTATTATATGCTTTATTTGTGCTGTAACAATGGAAATAAGTCACTTGTGTTTCGGTTATCCTAGGTAATTTATATCATAATTGTTCCTATGACTAAATAAACTTGTGTTATTGTCATTGGTTTTAACAATAAAATAATGATGTAAAGCAGGATAACCCACCACCACAACCTGGCTGATCAGGATTACCATGAATTTGTTGAAATTGCCCCATAAAAACAGTAAGGGTCTGCAGGTAATTACCATTATAGTTGAGTGGAACAATGTTGTTAAGCCTTCAACCTCTTATCCCCTCAAGGAAGGTTCCTTGATGTTGGTGAGGGGCTCTTGATTTAGGGAATTGGATCTGTGCTCCAGTTCCCCGAATTAAGCCTGAATGCCTTCCACATCCCCCCCAGGCGCTGTATAATCCTCCGGGTTTAGCGCTTCCCCTTGATTATAATAATAATAATAATTCAACCTCTTATATGTACCTAGAATTATCACTTGATGCAGTTATTACACCCGTGTGGGTGATGGACTCTTGATATGAAGAAATTGGACCTATCCTCCCCTTCCTTGGATCAGTCCTGAATTCCTCTCAATATCCTAGGCACTGTATAATCTCTGAGGGTTTAGCACTCCCCATGGTTGTCTTGCACCATCTACACTGCCTCCCATTCTTGTGCACCATCTACACTGCCTCCCATTCTTGTGCACCATCTACACTGCCTCCCACTCTTGTGCACCATCTACACTGCCTCCCATTCTTGTGCACCATCTACACTGCCTCCCACTCTTGTGCATATTCAGTATTTTCCATATGTATAATTTATTTTTCTCCTGTGTTTCAGAGAATATAATTTTACAGGCTTTAGGCATTGCCAATAATTTAGGTGTTTGACATGATTTATGGCAATCAGATTTCTCTATATTCTTTAACTTTCATTTTATTCTTGACTGTTTTACCAATAGTAGGATAGGATAGGATAGGATTTCGTTCGGATTTTTAACCCCAGAGGGTTAGCCACCCAGGATAACCCAAGAAAGTCAGTGCGTCATCGAGGACTGTCTAACTTATTTCCATTGGGGTCCTTAATCTTGTCCCCCAGGATGCGACCCACACCAGTCGACTAACACCCAGGTACCTATTTGCTGCTAGGTGAACAGGACAACAGGTGTAAGGAAACGTGTCGAATGTTTCCACCCGCCGGGAATCGAACCCGGGCCCTCCGTGTGTGAAGCGGGAGCTTTAGCCACCATGTATTCCAGTCATTATATGAATTCATCGCTAATTTAGGAGTTAGCCATCCAGCATAACCCAAGAAAGTCAGTGTGTCATCGAGGGACTGTCTGTTTTATTTCCGATGGGGTCCTCAGTCTTGGCCCCCAGGATGCCGTCCACACCAGTCAAATAACACCCCAGGTACCTACTTGCTTGGTAGATGAATGGGACAACAGGTGTAAGGAAACATGCCCAATGTTTCCATCCTTGCTAGGGATTGAACCACGGACACTCAGTGTGTGAAGCGAGAGTGTTGCCTACCAGGCAACAGGCCACTATCCAACCTATTATTTTCCTATTTTTTTTTTTTTTTAGAGATGGCGTCCAAAATACCTGATGTGTCGTCACTGGTGTCTAAGGCCCAGGCAGTTTTTACTGCCACATATGGTGGCACTGCAGAGGTAGCTGTGTCAGCACCTGGAAGAGTCAACATTATTGGAGAGCATACTGATTACAACGATGGATTTGTCTTTCCCATGGTGAGTGTCTTATGTGAAAATGAATTAAGAGTAGTCCCTTGAGTTACAATGCATCCAGAAAATGTGAAGTATCTCAAAATTATTATAACACAAATCCCAAAATATATGGTTTTTAGGTAATTCATTTGAAGACCCCAGAAGTGCAACTTTTACTGTACCTTACTGTACCATCTCTTTGGTAATTTCTCTACTTTTTTTTCACTCGGTTAGATTTGTCAGCCACTTTAATATTCTATATTATTTCTTTTTGCTTGATATAGTAGACATGGTTGTGAAAAACCATACTTGCACATAAATGCACTAATTCTAAATCCTTGATTATGTTTTTTAACAATTTCTTTCTCAATTTATAGAGAAATTGCCTCTTTACTGTGCGCTTTAGGGACCATAATGACTTGGTAACACAAAAATAGCATAACTAAATCACAGCTATGGTTATGAAGTGTAAATAATCCAGAGTTGGTACGAGCAACACGTGGTAGCATCAAACTGAAGAGAAAACAATAAACTGTAGTACAAATGCTGTTATTGGCTGAGATGCTGCCATACAAAACATTCATTCCCTTTGCTGATTGGCTGCTAGAGCATCCCCAGTGACACTTCTATTGGCTCGGAAATGCCAAAGAGGCAAGCTACTGCATTGCTGATTGGCTGGGGCCCATGCCAATCATCATACACATATCATGTGGCAAATTTTTCATTGCAGCTCAAAGCTAAATTTCATTATGAAAATAAATTGTAAATGAAAATTATCATAACACATGCCCGTCATTACTCAAGGGACTACTGTACTATACTGTATGGTTTTTATTCTAAGTTTATTAATATGTTAATGCAGTGTTACACTGTGCTTACAAAAATTGATGTTGATCTAAAATCTCATTTCACTGAATACGTACAGTGCTGCATTGTGTGTAAAAATGGTACTAAACAGTTTCTTCCAAAAAATGAGAATATGAAAAGAGGGGGGTATGAGGAGTTCCAGACTTACAAACCCCGAGTTACAATGATTTACACTTACAAATGATGCACGAAAGATATAATAGAGTGGAACCTTCGTTTTTGTATGCCTCAGCTTGCATGTAAAGCCAGTTGTTCTCTATGAAATGTATTTTTTGATAATATTTCCCATAAGAAATAATGTAAATCCAATTAATTCTTTCCAGACACCCAAAAATATTAACAAAAAATAAATTTTATGGAGAATAACTGTGGCTTTACATGCAAGCTGGGGCATATGAAAACTGAGGTTCCAGTGTATTGATAATATAATTTTTTATGAACCCTATCTGCAGTGACAAATGTATGAATCAATTATCCTGTGTACTCTCATTTTATTTTGGGTAATATGTAGGTAGTAGGTTGGTAGACAGCAACCACCCAGGGAGGTACTACCGTCCTGCCAAGTGAGTGTAAAATGAAAGCCTCTGATTGTTTTACATGATGGTAGGATTGCTGATGTCTTTTGTCTGTCTCATAAATATGCAAGATTACAGGCATGTCTTGCTACTTCTACTTACACTTAGGTCACACTACACATACATGTACACATTTATTTATACACACTCATCTGAGTTTTCTTAGATTTTATCTTAATAGTTCTTGGTCTTATTAATTTTCCTTTTATATCCATGGGGAAGTGGAATAAGAATCTTTCCTCCGTAAGCCATGCGTGTTGTAAAAGTCAACTAAAATGCCGGGAACAATGGGCTAGTAACCCCTTTTCCTGTAAAGATTACTAAAAAGAATAAGAAGAAAAAATTGTCAAAGTGGGAAGTCTGAATGTGCGTGGATGTTGTGCAGATGATAAGAAAGAGATGATTGTGGATGTTATGAATGAGAAGAAGCTGGATGTCCTGGCTTTAAGTGAAACAAAGCTGAAGGGGGTGGGAGAGTTTCAGTGGAGAGGAATAAATGGGATTAGTCAGGGGTTTCAAATAGAGTTAGAGCTAAAGAAGGAGTAGCAATAATGTTGAAGGATAAGCTATGGCAGGAAAAGAGGGACTATAAATGTATTAATTCAAGGATTATGTGGAGTAAAATAAAGATTGGATGTGAAAAGTGGGTTATAATAAGCGTGTATGCACCTGGAGAAGAGAGAAGTGTAGAGAGAGAGAGAGAGATTTGGGAAATGTTGAGTGAATGCGTGGGGAGTTTTGAATCAAGTGTGAGAGTAATGGTGGTTGGGATTTCAATGCTAAAGTGGTAAAAATGTTATGGAGGGAGTAGTAGGTAAATTTGGGGTGCCAGGGGTAAATGTAAATGGGGAGCCTTTAATTGAGCTATGTGTGAAAGAAATTTGGTAATAAGTAATACATATTTTATGAAAAGAGGATAAATAAATATACAAGGTATGATGTAGCACGTAATGAAAGTAGTTTATTTAGATTATGTATTGGTGGATAAAAGGTTGATGGTAGGCTCCAGGATGTACATGTTTATAGAGGGGCAACTGATATATCGGATCATTATTTAGTTTGTAGCTACAGTTAGAGTAAGAGGTAGATTGGGAAAAGAGGAAGGTGGCAACAACAAGTAAGAGGGAGGTGAAAGTGTATAAACTAAGGGAGGAGGAAGTTCGGTGAGATATAAGCGACTATTGGCAGAAAGGTGGGCTAGTGCAAAGATGAGTAGTGGGGGGGTTGAAGAGGGTTGGAATAGTTTTAAAAATGCAGTATTAGAATGTGGGGCAGAAGTTTGTGGTTATAGGAGGGTGGGAGCAGGAGGGAAAGAGGAGTGATTGGTGGAATGATGAAGTAAAGGGTGTGATAAAAGAGAAAAAGGTAGCTAATGAGAGGTTTTTTACAAAGCAGAAGTGTTATAAGAAGAGCAGAGTATATGGAGAGTAAAAGAAAGGTAAAGAGAGTGGTGAGAGAGTGCAAAAGGAGAGCAGATGATAGAGTGGGAGAGGCACTGTCAAGAAATTTTAATGAAAATAAGAAAAAATTTTGGAGTGAGTTAAACAAGTTAAGAAAGCCTAGGGAAAATATGGATTTGTCAGTTAAAAACAGAGTAGGGGAGTTAGTAGATGGGAGATGGAGGTATTGGGTAGATGGCGAGAATATTTTGAGGAACTTTTAAATGTTAAGGAAGAAACAGAAGCAGTAATTTCATGCACTGGTCAGGGAGGTATACCATCTTTTAGGAGTGAAGAAGAGCAGAATGTAAGTGTGGGGGGGGGTACGTGAGGCATTAGTAAAATGAAAGGGGTAAAGCAGCTGGAACTGATGGGATCATGACAGAAATGTTAAAAGCAGGGGGGATATAGTGTTGGAGTGGTTGGTACTTTTGTTTAATAAATGTATGAAAGAGGGGAAGGTACCTAGGGATTGGCGGAGAGCATGTATAGTCCCTTTATATAAAGGGAAAGGGGACAAAAGAGACTGTAAAAATTATAGAGGAATAAGCTTACTGAGTATACCAGGAAAAGTGTACGGTAGGGTTATAATTAAAAGAATTAGAGGTAAGACAGAATGTAGGATTGCGGATGAGCAAGGAGGTTTCAGAGTGGGTAGGGGATGTGTAGATCAAGTGTTTACATTGAAGCATATATGTGAACAGTATTTAGATAAAGGTAGGGAAGTTTTTATTGCATTTATGGATTTAGAAAAGGCATATGATAGAGTGGATAGAGGAGCAATGTGGCAGATGTTGCAAGTATATTATATGGAATAGGTGGTAAGTTATTAAATGCTGTAAAGAGTTTTTATGAGGATAGTGAGGCTCAGGTTAGGGTGTGTAGAAGAGAGGGAGACTACTTCCCGGTAAAAGTAGGTCTTAGACAGGGATGTGTAATGTCACCATGGTTGTTTAATATATTTATAGATGGGGTTGTAAAGGAAGTAAATGCTAGGGTGTTCGGGAGAGGGGTGGGATTAAATTTTGGGGAATCAAATTCAAAATGGGAATTGACTCAGTTACTTTTTGCTGATGATACTGTGCTTATGGGAGATTCTAAAGAAAAATTGCAAAGGTTAGTGGATGAGTTTGGAATGTGTGTAAAGGTAGAAAGTTTGAAAGTGAAAATAGAAAAGAGTAAGGTGATGAGGGTGTCAAATGATTTAGATAAAGAAAAATTGGATATCAAATTGGGGAGGAGGAGTATGGAAGAAGTGAATGTTTTCAGATACTTGGGAGTTGACGTGTCGGCGGAATGGATTTATGAAGGATGAGGTTAATCATAGAATTGATGAGGGAAAAAAGGTGAGTGGTGCGTTGAGGTATATGTGGAGTCAAAAAACGTTATTTATGGAGGCAAAGAAGGGAATGTATGAAAGTATAGTAGTACCAACATATATGGGTGTGAAGCTTGGGTGGTAAATGCAGCAGCGAGGAGACGGTTGGAGGCAGTGGAGATGTCCTGTTTAAGGGCAATGTGTGGTGTAAATATTATGCAGAAAATTCGGAGTGTGGAAATTAGGAGAAGGTGTGGAGTTAATAAAAGTATTAGTCAGAGGGCAGAAGAGGGGTTGTTGAGGTGGTTTGGTCATTTAGAGAGAATGGATCAAAGTAGAATGACATGGAAAGCATATAAATCTATAGGGGAAGGAAGGCGGGGTAGGGTCGTCCTCGAAAGGGTTGGAGAGAGGGGGTAAAGGAGGTTTTGTGGGCAAGGGCTTGGACTTCCAGCAAGCGTGCGTGAGCGTGTTAGATAGGAGTGAATGGAGACGAATGGTACTTGGGACCTGACGATCTGTTGGAGTGTGAGCAGGGTAATATTTAGTGAAGGGATTCGGGGAAACCGGTTATTTTCATATAGTCGGACTTGAGTCCTGGAAATGGGAAGTACAATGCCTGCACTTTAAAGGAGGGGTTTGGGATATTGGCAGTTTGGAGGGATATGTTGTGTATCTTTATATGTGTATGCTTCTAGACTGTTGTATTCTGAGCACCTCTGCAAAAACAGTGATAATGTGCGAGTGTGGTGAAAGTGTTGAATGATGATGAAAGTATTTTCTTTTTGGGGATTTTCTTTCTTTTTTGGGTCACCCTGCCTCGGTGGGAGACGGCCGACTTGTTGAAAAAAAAAAAAATATGTTCTGGGTTACAAACACATTATTTGAGAGTTGTAACATTAGAGGTGCAACTTGGTGAGTTGGTGATGGAATACCATAGAGAAGACTAGGAATCCATTCAGAAAGCATCTCAGCCCCAAACCTGCCAGAAAATACACCAAACCAGAGACAAACATAATGTACAGTGATACGTCAATATTCAAACTTAATCCATTCCAAGAGGCTGTTCAAATAGTGAGATGTAATAATGTTGGTGGAATTACTGACACTATGTAAAGTAAAAGTACACAAGTGCAACTAGAGAGAACTAATGTGGCAACTCAGGCCTATTGTGCCAATGTTGAATGAATGGCAAATGAAACATATATATACGTTTGGGGTGCTACGCGAGAGAACGTATATATACGTTTTGACCGTTTAAGGATTAAGAAGGAGAGAAGACAAATTATATATTTTTTTTTTTTTCAAAAAGTCGGTCGTCTCCCACCGAGGCAGGGTGACCCAAAAAAGAAAGAAAATCCCCAAAAAGAAAATACTTTCATCATCATTCAACACTTTCACCACACTCACACATTATCACTGCTTTTGCAGAGGTGCTCAGAATACAACAGCTTAGAAGCATATACGTATAAAGATACACAACATATCCCTCCAAACTGCCAATATCCCAAACCACTCCCTTTTAAAATGCAGGCATTGTACTTCCCATTTCCAGGACTCAAATCCGACTATATGAAAATTAACCGGTTTCCCTGAAACCCTTCACTAAATATTACCCTGCTCACACTCCAACAGATCGGGCAGCCCCAAGTATCATTCGTCTCCATTCACTCCTATCTAACCGCTCATGCACGCTTGCTGGAAGTCCAAGCCCCTCGCCCACAAAACCTCCTTTACCCCCTCTTTCCAACCCTTTCGAGGACGTCCCCTACCCTCTTTCCCTTCCCCTATAGATTTATATGCTTTCCATGTCATTCTACTTTGATCCATTCTCTCTAAATGACCAAACCACCTCAACAACCCCTCTTCTGCCCTCTGACTAATGCTTTTTTTAATCCACACCTTCTCCTAATTTCCACCTCCGAATTTTCTGCATAATATTTACACCACACATTGCCCTTAGACAGGACATCTCCACTGCTCCAACCGTCTCCTCGCTGCTGAAATTTACCACCCAAGCTTCACATCCATATATAAATATATATATATATATATATATATATATATATAATTATAAATATATATATATATATATGTATAATATTTTATATATGTATATATATATATATATATATATATATATATTATATATATATATATATTATATATATATTTATATATATATATATATACATATATATATATAATCCTATATATATATATATATAACGTATATATATATATATATTATATATATATATATATATTTTATATAATATATATATATATTATATATATATATATATATTATATATATATATATAGTATATATATTTTTTTTTTTTAATGTACCAGCCATCTCCCACTGAGACAGGGTGACCTAGAAATAAAAAGGAAAGTTTTTCCTTCTACATTTAGTAATTTATACAGGAGAAGGGGTTGAATATCAAAATGGTATATAATGCCGACAGGTTGGTAGGTAAGACATATAGGCAACTTTATTCTGAAACGTTTCGCCTACACAGTAGGCTTCTTCAGTCGAGTACAGAAAGTAGGCAGGAGCAGTAGAGATGTGAAGATGATGTAATCAGTCCATCACCCTTGAAGTCGTAGATTTGAGGTTGTTAGTCCCTCAGTCAGTTCTGAAACGTTTCACAATAAAGTTGCCTAAATGTTGCCTATGTGTCTTACCTACCAGGAGAAGGGGTTACTAGCCCCATTGCTCTCGGCATTTTAGTCTCCTCATACAACACACATGAATTATGGAAGAAGGATTCTTTTCTACTTCCCCATGGAGAAGAAATAATCATAATAATGTTAATACAGTATACTGTAATTGTACATTAGACCAGAATTGGATTATGCAGCAGTAGTGTGGTATCACCATAAACCATATTAGAGTTGATAAAATATAAGAAGTCCAGAAATGTACTACAAAATAGCTACCAGAGGGAAAGACTAAGAACATCGAAATTTGCCGAGTTTGCTGATAAGAGACAACATGATTACCACATATATAATTATAGAGGAATTCTGAAAAAATTATATACTTTAGAAGGTGGCTCTTAGCTCAGTGGTAGCATCTTTGACTCACAGCTGAAGGGCCTGAGTTCAATTCTTGGTGTGTCAATATATGCAGTAGTACCCCCGTATCCATGGATTTGGTTTCCATGGTTTCAATTATCCGCGATTTATGGTAGCTTGAAAATAACCCTTAATTTACATATGTAGGTATGTACGTATGTAAATGAAAGAACTTGTATATGAGGTTCTCTACTATCCACAGTTTCGGGTATCCATGGTAGGTCTTGGATTCATTTCATGCATGTTTTCTAATGTGTGATGTCCTAATTCCTTTGGTAATTCCTTATCTGTGATTTTGGGTCATTGTATGTGACAGCATAGTTAGCAAAGCTCATTTAAGATTCTCTTCATGTGGAATTGAATGTTTATGGCCTTGACTGAGATATATACAGCTGCCAAGAACTTGGAATGCCACTATGGCATAAAATGAAGGACACCTACATAATTAACACACAAATAACCAGCTCATAGAAACTTATGACAACATTCCAATCCGACTTGGACCGTTTCTTTCTCCTATGTGCAGTTTATTTGTGTATTGTTCCAGTCATGGTATTATGCCTTTTTGTTCTTCATAATTGATACATAACAGCATTTATAGCTGTGATTTGTGGATATGACAGTAACACACAAAAGGTTTTCTATGTTAAGAAACACGTTGATAAGATTACATTCTTTTAAATAACAGTTTTACATTTTTGTTTTAAATTACTGTTTATAAAATTAATTTCTTGTGCTAATATGTGTTCCCAGTATGAATATTTTACAATAAAAATATCCAGCTTTAACATATTGAAGAAAGCCAGATTTTATCTAACAGGCTCTTCCACTAGTAACTGTTATTGTTGGACGCAAGACAAACACTTCAATGTGCAAAGTGCAGACGCTCTCAGAATTTGCAGATAAGCCTCTACAAGTAGAATTTAAGCCACCGTCTCTATCAACACCTCTCAAACCTGGAACACCTAATTGGGCCAATTACATTAAAGGAGTTGTTGCCAATTTTCCTGGTAAGTGCAAAAAAGTGGATTTCATTAGGTGAGATAAACTTTAAGGTAAGTTTCTCTTAGGTACCATTTACACAAGTACAGTTACACTAATTTTGCATGATTACATTGTGTGTTGTACATTGTAACATATGTGTAAATTACCTAGGATTGCCCCCCCCCCAAAAAAAAAAAAAAAAAAATCGGAAGTTACTTAATTCTTGTGGTCCTTTTTTATATCTGACTATTATCAGCCAAAGTATTGGATACAGTAAAATGTCATGATTATAACAAAAAATAAAATATGCTGAATACATTACATTAACATTAAATAGAGAATTTCAGCTGATATGAATTACATGAATGTTAACTATACAATAAATCATTCTCCTTCCTTTCTGTAGCTTTATTCAATAGGTACTTTTAAGTTATTTTTTTAATTCCTACCAAGGCAGGGTGACCTTAAATGAAAAATGAAAGTTTTTTTTTTTTTAAATTTAGTAATGTATACAGAAGGGGTTACTAGCCCCTTGCTTTTGGCATTTTAGTCGCCTTTTACAACATGCATTGCTTACAGATGAAAAATTCTCGCATCATTTTATTGTGCAATTTGTAGTTTGCCTTTTTTTTTTTTTTTGAAGCACAGAGTACTATGAAGAACTTGAATTATCTATGACATTGTATAAGATATAAGAGCTAGTTATAGGGTCCTGTGAGACTCATCTTGCTATTTTCTTTTTGGGTACGAATTGCAGTGTTCAATTAATGAGAAGGTTAGCATAATTTTTTTTTTCTAAAATTTTAATTACAGTTAGTGTCAGTCTGGTACAAAATTGTGGCATTTAAACGATCTCTCAAAATACAGGGTTCTTTTATAAATACACTGAAGTGTGAAAGGAAAGCTTTTTATTGAATTTAATATTATTTCCATCCTGCAAGCCAAATTTTGGGGAACTCCCTGTGCTTTCTAATGGTGGTAGTGGTTCTTCAGTCAGAAAACAGGGAAGTGTCTCCTGATGTGAGTGTTTGACATATAATGACCTGCACAGTGATTAAGCACCCTCTAAGTTAGTAAGTTTACTCAGGTATAGGTACACATAAATACAGTTACATAAAGTACCATTGTAGGTTGGTAGACAGCAACTGCTCAGGGAGGTACTACTGTACCATCCTGCCAAGTGAGTGTAAAATGGAAGCCTGTAATTGTATTACATGATGGTAGGATTGCTGGTGTCTTTTTTTCTGTCTCATAAACATGGAAGATTTCAGGTACATCTTGCTACTTCTACTTCCACTTGGGTCACACAATACCTGTGTGGACAAGCATATATATACAGTAGGGCCCTACTTATACAGCAGGTTAGGTTCCAGACTGCTTCTGGAAAGCAGAACGCCATTTTTTCCACTTATAAATGCATAAAATGCCATATAACAAGTTTACACTAACATACATTAAATTAACAATAGAACTAGGCATTAAAAATACACACACAGTACACTCATTATTTAACTCAAAATATTTGTAGTCTTAATGTAGGGCAAAAGGTGAGTAGTATTTACTGTAAGAAGTCAGGTGTGGTAGCCCTCCTGGCCACCCCACCCACACATAATATACTATGACACTTAAAGTGCACTAGAGTGATAAAATGCATATACAAGTACACTCATTACTTACCTTAAAATATTTGTAGTCTTAATGGTCTTAATGTTGGGTGAGAGGTGAAAAGTATTTACAGTATTTGTAGAAAGTCGTGTAGGAGGTATGGCATCCTGCCTGGCTACCCCACCTACTACGACATTTAAAGTGCCCTAGAGTGATAAAATGCATATACAGTACACTCATTACTTACCTTAAAATATTTGTAATCTTAATGTAGGGTGAGAGGTGAGTAAGCGAGATAAAAACGAATAAACGAGAGAGAGAGAGAGAGAGAGAGAGAGAGAGAACGAGTAAGATGACAGAGCCGCAGAGTACTTATGTAAACAAACTGTCTCATTATGGTTGATACACTTCATACAAACACCTTACATTGTGTACAAGTTATCTCCACAGTGGTACAGTAGAATAAATAAAGACCAACACTTACATTCTCATGTAATTTTTGGAAGGAATGATGCTCTGACAAATTATTATTATTACAAGTTACATGTATTATTATTACAAATTATTATTATTACAAGTTATTATTATTACAAATTATTATTATTACAAATTATTATTATTACAAATTATTATTATTACAAATTATTATTATTATTACAAGTTGTTATTACAAATTATTATTATTACAAATTACAGTAGGACCCCGCTTTATGGCATTTCACTTTACGGCGTTCCGCTAATGCGATCATTTCAAATTATGACCAAAACTCAATACGGCTCCCCTCACCTGACTTTCTAATACGGTCACCGTGCCCCACCCGGTTTGTTTACATTCTCTGTGAGATCCTTAAGCACTAAGTCTCTCCATTATGTCTAGAAACTCCAAAATTTCAAGTGTTTTTAAGTTATTTCATATTTTATATACTGTATACTCTGATAATCATATTTATGTATACCTGTACCTAAATAAACCTACATACTGTGCTGGCGTGCAGGTACACATTAAAATCAGTAAGAGTGTCTTATGTCTCGAGACACCATATTAGTAATAATAATAATAATAATAATCACCGAGTCTCATTGAATGTCGTATATTACGTTAATATACATATTTTTATTAATCAATCAATGATATTTTTTTCAATTATATAATAAACACGATACATAACATATAAAGATGATAAATACACCCCACAGTAGAATAAATAAATGTAAATATGAGATGTGGTAGCCAGACAACTTGTATGAGTGATGGCAAGAATATCATTTTCTCTAGTCCAACATAAGAGAAAAATGTGTTACCGGGAGTAACTGTAGAAAATTATTCCTTTCGTATGTAAGTAGCTTATTCAAGAATACACAAATACAGTTACATAGATTATCATACACAGCATATGTGTAGAGAACCTACGATAACCCAAAAAAGTCAGAGTCACTTATTTCCATTGCCTTCACTCAGAGCGTCATTTCTTCTAAAAATGGTGTTACATGAGAATGGGAGTGTTCTTTATTTATTCTACCGTATTAATGTAGAGACAACTTGTACGCAATGTTACTTGTACACAAACAAGATGTGTACACCTGGTTTGTTTACAAAACTTGTGTTCACCTGGTTTGTTTACAAAACTTGTGTTCACCTGGTTTGTTTTCATAACTCATTCTCTCTCTCTCTCTCTCTCTCATTTATTCGTTTTATCTCGTTTACTCACCCCTGACCCTACATTAAGACTACAAATATTTTAAGGTAAGTAATGAGTGAACTGTATATGCATTTTATTGCTAAGGAATGCTTAAATGTCATAGAATATTATGTGTGGGTGAAATGGCCTGGTATGGTAGCCCGGCTGGCTACCATATATACCACACTTGATTTCTTAAAATAAGTACTACGTACTCATCTCACCCTAGATTAACCCTTTGACTGTCACGGCCGTATATATACGTTTACGAGGTACCGTGTTTGACGTATATATATACTCATAAATTCTAGTGGCTTCAAATCAGGCAGGAGAAAGCTGGTAGGCCCACATGCGAGAGAATGGGTCTGTGTGGTCAGTGTGCACCATATAAAAAAAATTCTGGAGCACGCAGTGCATAATGAGAAAAAAAAAACTCCGTTTTTTTTTAATTAAAATGCCGACTTTGTGGTCTATTTTCGTATAGTATTTGTGGTTGTATTCTCGTTTTCTTGGTCTCATTTGATAGAATGGAAACTATATTATAGAAATAGAGGTGATATTGATTAATTTTACTATAAAAAGAACCTGGAAATGAAGCACAAAGTACGGGAAATGTTTGATTTTTGCCGATGTTCAAAAGTATACAAATGATGTCATTGTCCAATAAATGTCCAAATAGCCATTCTAATATGCAGTCATGAATGGGTTGATGTAATTTTTACAATTATTACAGTATTGCAGTAGTCTGCATAGCAGTAAATCTATTTTTTGTTTGAATAAAATTTCAAAATAAAAAGCAAGAGTAATATCAGCGGGGCTGGAGACATGACTGATGAACAAAGAAAATGTTATTTTAGAGCCAGGAATGTCTGCATTGTTCATTCTGGATCTTATTTTGAAATTGTCATATTTTTTAATTTTCGTGAAATTGGCCAAATTGCAAATTTCTGACCATGTTATTGGGTAAATGGGCAGTTTCTTGTACTCACTCGATGGAAAAAAATGGAGTTCTGAAGAAATAGCTATGAGTTTGGTTGACTGGAATAATGGAATTAGCCGAAAATAGGGCTTAAAGTGGGCGAAATCGCCGATTTGTAAATATCGCCGAGGCCACTAACTTCGCTAGAGCGTAATTCCGTCAGTTTTCCATCAAATTTCGTTTTTTGGTGTCTTTGCAATCGGGAAAAGATTCTCTATCATTTCCTAAGAAAAAATAATTTTTTTTTTTTTTTTTTTTTGAAATTTTGCGACACCAGGAGACACCTCAGGATTGGGGGTTGCGACAGTCAAAGGGTTAATACTACAAATGTTTTAAGTTAAGTAATGTGCAAGAATGGTATATAATACTGACAAGATGAAATTAAGACACATGTGCAACATCTGGGTATCTTTATTGTAGACGTTTTGCCATCCAGTGGCTTTATCAATACAAATTCTAGGACATAACTTGAAGACAGAAGGAATATATACAGAAGATGAGGTAATCAGTCCCTCAACCTTAGAGTAGGTGCGAAGAGCACCATAGTCGTGGAGATTTTGAAGCAGAAGCAAGGAGCCTGGCGCTTATATAGTAACGTCAGGTGTAGCAGACGAGGGCATAGTCACTGGTAGGCGGGATTCCCCAGTGGAAGTAGGTCCTTCCCAAAGAGATGAGTTAGTTGTAGAAGTTATCGTAGTCGTGAAGGTTATGTACATGTCCTCAGAATCAAGATTCCATGATGTTGCAGTGTCTGACAAGTTGT